GGGACAAATGACAATAGTAGGCATAACTTAGGCACTGCCTTCGAGTTCCAGTTCTTATACGGTTACGTGTATTCTAAAGTATTGCATTACTAATGTTTCACTTAAAGCGTGATGTCAACCCATATGACTAAGGCTGTTAACATGTGGCGTAAATTGAAGTCTACACGAGACGAATTATTGAATTCGTTCAGCTTTAGCACTCGTAGTTAGATTTACCTGACACTAATATATGCCACCAATTACTTCGTCAGGTCTCATTAATAAGTCGTGCCTGCATCTAGTCATCATGACAAATATATCTACACTCAGATAGAATAAAAGAAGGTCTGGTAAGCAGGATGTTAAATATATTTAATCAAAAATAAGAACAAGCAAATGTCTTTACGCAGTTGTTCGTCGTAATAAATTGGGCAATGTCGAATCACTGTGACCGGGTTGACTGACGTTACCGGATATCTGCCAAAAAGTAAACAAAGAAGTAATATTAAAGTTAAACGATTTATATTTGCCTACCTTTTCTAAAAATGGTTCATTCTCCTTTCTCATTCCTTGTTCATGACAGCATTCTTCTGTGGTTTTCACTGACACACACATCGTTAAGTATCATAAATTAGTGCATCTTCAAAAGTTTCAGTCGTCCAACTGTTGCACGAGTAATTAGAACAGATGGCGATAAGAGTGAAATTGTAAACCCTTCACGATGAACACTGTACATTTGGCTAAGTGCTATGTCCTTGGAATGTTAGTATGCATTTGTAATGTGTAATGCCAACCATATTGGTGTAAGCATAGAAAATATGACGTTTTCAAAGAAAATACAGCTTTGTTCCAACACTGGTGATGTTGTGTTTAGAATAAAAGCAACCAGACTGTAAGCAAGCAACTAATAGGCACAAAGAGTAAGTCTCAGTTTTAATAAAGGCATATCCAGTTAAGGTAAAATGTAGTGTAATAGTGCACAAATGAGAAGACCAGCGTGAAGTAGATAAGTGATATTTAAGTGACAGGTAAATTGAAAAATCTGCAACCTTACAATTTGATGCAGTTTCTTATCAACAGTTTGCAGTATTAACAACATCACCAATTGCTTACAGATAACTTGTTTAATAATAACTGCTTTAAATATATGAGCCATAAGTGCATCTTCTATATCTTTCATAGCCACAATTAAGTCATTAAGGATCTCAGAATATCTTAGTGATGTGAAACAAAATAATTATTAAGATTGATATAACCTATGTAACAGGTGTAGTACTTGTATGACATAGCTGCTAGCTACTAATCAACAGAAAGCTGATACTCATTTTAAGTACTCTGACATTTGAGGAGTATTTATACTATTCTTCGAGACGCGATGAACACTGATGTCAATATAGTCTGATGCCATTTCATGCACTGAGCAATTAAGGCCTTGTGAAATTCCATGTGCAAATGTCAGTTAAACTATTATCACATCTTCGCCAAAGCACTTTTAACTAGGAACTTCATCAAAATAGATATAATCACCAGGAAATTCGGCAGCCTGTTTCATTCATCGCATGGTGTCGTCGATGTGTTGTGGAATATTTCGGTCATCCCGGATGATAACAGAAGTGTTTAACATGTTCAAAACACACATCTAACCTATGTCTGCATGCTATTTCTCTTTCATAGGCCAGATTCTCATAGATTCAATGGAGTGACAACAGCCATTGCCTGCAGTATGTTTAAAACATTAGGATCTGAAACAACTCGCAAAAAAACAATCCCTCAACGCACTATAATGCAAATTATAGTCTTTCTATGCGAACTTTCTTAAAAAGGATGACTTCTTCATTGATAATTCGTCCGAGCTATAATATACAATTTTACGGTCTACTAAGAACAAAATACAGCAAAATACTGCCATCGGGCTACAGAAGTCTAAAACTAGTCAAATATAATCTATTTCCAAAAAAATAGGCGATTATAACGTCTGTTGCTGTGAACGCGGTAACCAATGGCATCGCGCGATAACACCTGGTTATAGCCTATGTCCTCACCCGGAGGACCATGCCGGAACGCAGAAGCATTTATCCGACGCAAAATGGCCTTTAGAACGGACTGAGTTATCTGCAGATGAACAATCGGAAGTAGTAAAAGAGATTAATCACACAGCAATCTCGGATACCATCCATTTGGTCACAACACAGCTGATGAAAAGGTTCTCATGGCTGAAGAGAGGTATGCAACGTATTCTGCATGCAAAGAGGAATGCGTGGTTTATGTGGCGAGTATCCAAGCATCAGACCGACCACGATGCATACCTGGAACTCAGGAACTGGTGCAATGTGAGAGTCAGGAATGACAGGAGGCCATTTCAGGCTTACTCTTCCAAAAACTCCTGACGAACCCCAAAATCCTGTACTGATTCATGTCGGAGAAAAACCAAGCAACTAAAGGGCATGTGCTTTAGTAGGTCTGAATGGTCAATACCTCACTAGTCTGAAGATGGATAAAACTTTCAATTTAGACCTCTTTAAACAGTCAAGCAGCAGTGTTGGTACTGCTGGTGTGAACCGAAAGGGTGGCACTACGACTTCACCGGGGGAAAACCCAGTGGGTACTCTCCAAATAAACCCGGAAATAGTACTAGGGAAACTACACGGTCTCATATTTAGGGGGTCCCCAGGTTGTGACGACATCGGTAACAAGCGGCCCAAGTGAAAGGCCCAAGCAACCAGACATAATGACCTTGATCAACTAATCAGACGAGCCCACGCCAAAAACACGCGAATATAGATGCAGTCCATGAATTACGTTGCAAATTCCATCAAGAGGCAGTATTTGAGAACTAAGGAATTAAGAGGCCTATAGAAAGCTTGTAGGTATGGAGGAGTAATATCTTTACAGAGGTATGCAGTTGCTGTTAGTGGATATGTGTACAAATATCCAGCCTGTCATTCCAGAAAATCTTCCTGAGAAGACTATTTCTTTTTTAAGATCATGGGTGCTGTAGAGTGGAGAATGGGTCAGAGAACAGCATGATACACACTCGGATCCTACTTGGAGGCCAGGTATGTGATGTCACGCAACTGTCCCCTTAATGTGTATGTACGATACAACCCCACAATCTTCGGTGTATTTGTAAGGCGATAGGTTCTTGTTTGGTTCGCTGACAGAGTTCCTTGTCGTTTGTCTATTCTAGCTATTTAATTTTCATTGTGGAGTGAAGACAGCTACAGATAGAAGCCTGTTAGTAACGCTTTTGGTGACACACGAACTCTGAACCGTATGGAAGCAATGCTCTGCCAGTGGTATTGAAAATTTGAACTTCTGTTCGTTGTGTTGACTCAGTGCAGGAGACTTCCGAACTGATTTCTGTTATATGAAGGTCTATCCGACCTTTTCGATCGCGGTTTTAACATTCTCGTCCGTGGAGTCTGCTGCGGTTGCAACGGCGCCGGCTAAGTAAAAGAAAGAAGCAACCCCTTTCAAATTTCTCCCATCGATTGTGATTGATGCCTGCTGTTTTTGTTGGCTGTTTATCTCCGCCACCCCCGTCTTGTCTACGTTCACTTTTGCCCTGTCCTCACTGCTTCTTCCGAAAATTGTTTGGTTTTCGCCCTTAAGTCTTTGCGTTTGTGTGATGTAAGACGTAAACGGGACTTGAAGTTCGAGTCTTCTGTGGTCTTCACGTCGGTCTAACATGTTTCTACCTTCTCTCTCCCCACTCTCCCCAGCATTATCATCCATGAAGGCAGGTGTCTAATGTCCAGGTCTAACTACGCTGGACTTCACACTGTCCTTAGAAGACTTTTAGGAACTATGCACAATAACCAGCGCGGAAAACCAGAACAAAAATTGGTGACTCAAGGACCCTCTATTCTTGCACCAATACAGGGCCAACCATAAGGTTATTGTGCACAAAAGTCCAAGAATAAATGTCATAACAATAAATCACAATAATGCTTCGGATAGTTTTTTCCGTCTTCCAACGACCAGCGAATGGTGGAACGATGACTGCAGTATCGATGACACCCGCCAAAATATAGAGTTGGGTTTGAGTGAACAACCCTGAATTGATCGTGCAATCTTCAACTGTATTGACAGCAGGTATCCTCGTCTTACTCTTATCTTCATTTCAAACCCTTCGCTGAGCCTTTCACTGTGAATCACATGGCGTGTGACATTGTCATATAGCTTCTGAATAAAGGTTGATAAGAGTTTAGGGCATTCCACTGTTAAAGCAGTTTCATTGGTTCCACCTGTGTTCATCTCTTCTCGGATAGATATCCAGTTGTCCAGTATGGTGATATGAGGTCTCTTTCAAGTGGTGCCTGTTTTGCTTCAGTTTCCAGTGTGAAGTAGAATTATTTTTGGTCTTTCTCAGCACTCTTATCTACATTTTCATGCAGTGTGTTGTAAACTGAAGTCAGTTTCTCTTTCTTTTACTGTTTTTTGAACTGCTTTGTTTTCCGTTTCACCATCCTTCTTTCATCTCTAAGCTTCCACGTAGCCTCACAACCCACCTCTTGTCTCATCTTATCCTTGCTTCCAAAAGGCCTGTGAAGATTTCCATCAGTACCACCCTCAGAGAGTTTCAGCATTCTTGGTGATGCTACGTAATTTCTCCCACTTTTGCCCTGTTGGATGCTGTGAAGGTATATTTGGTAGTTTATTCCTCAGTTGCTGACTATTTAATCAGAGACAAGGTCTCTCTCTAGTTTCTTTGAAGCCTTTTAACTTGATTCTGAATATCCGCCGCACTAAATGACGGTCTGAGCTCTAATCTGCTACTCTTCTTGACTTTGACTATGCAGTTAGAACTTCACGAACACAACAGCGTGAAGGTACATTCCATATTTAATGAAAATTTCGCATTATTTCAATCTCAGCAGAACGCGAACATCATCAACATTATTTGGAGTTCAGGCTTTTGCTGCACTACCTCGAAGGTCAACGACTCAAGGTCAAAAAAGATGCACTAATCAAAGTTGGAGTATGCCGTGTTGTTCACACAGTCTAAGTAACGTGTTCCCATGGGTTGTTTTGGGCGAACCTTGAAATGTGGATTTGGTCCATATCCTTGTTTTTTATGCTGTGTGAAGAATGCTCGAGAATCTACAACAACGCGTCTTCTCTATACGTTGATTCTTGTCTTCACTGCTTTTTTATCAACCGCGTCACATGAAGGCGGACTGTCAAAATTATTTTACTCAAGAGTATGTACATCGTATTTAAAGTTTTATACTTGCTATTATAGTATGGGGCGCAGTTTGATTGGTTTTGTTCAAAAATTGGAGCAGGTACAAGTTGTTTCCGACTCATAGGATATATCGGCGTTTATCGTATTTGTCTTTCCCTATTCACATTTCATATTTTAATGACACTGCTGACTATTGCTGTCTCTTCTAGTCAAACTATTCGGGGAAAGATTCACAACGGGTAGTTTTCAATAATTTTATAATACTCTTTCATTTACTTTTAGATTCTGGTTGTGGAAAATTGCTTTCATAATCACTCTGTGGCTTATTGCGTATTTGTTTCCATATTTGGAAACGCTTACCAAAGGTGAGCCGAATTTTAATGATGACTGAGTATGATTAGTTTGGATGATAATGGGAATAGTCGGGGGAATGCTATTCGTTTATGTACAGCACATAACATTGATTGACTTCGCCTATGAAATAAATGGAAACTGGTAAGTTATTCAAAGTTTGAATTTGTGTTATTTCGACACATGTTTTAATGAGACATTTCAAATGATCGAAAATGTAAAAACTAACGAAAAAAATGTTTTTTATAATTATGTACTGTACTGTTTCAGTGTTTTACGTTTCGGTTAAATATTTTTTCCACCTGTAAGTGTGGTTGCCTTAGAAAAATTTCGTTCCTCGAGTATGACTTTTGCGAACCCCTAAGATTTTCAGTCCACGAAGGTTTCTGTCATCATTATTGTCTTCTATTTCCAAACTAGTATATGATAATTTTTCGAAATGATAAATTTCTTATCAGAGTCATGAGTTTGCTGTCTTAAAGACTTAATTTTTCTTGTTTGACGTTGCGCATAAGGAGTGTCGAATGAATCCTCTGCATTTCTGTTTATGGATGAGAGTTATGATATGCAATTATACTGTAATAATTCTCCCAATGTGTTTCATTGTTTTAGGCATAATAAATCCAAGACGTCTCCCTGCTACACGTTAGGTAAGTATACTTTAACTGTAGTTCCTGAAGGTGTTTTTAATCCAACAATCAACCTCTGGTTTCACACCTATTAATTTATCTTGAGTAGGTTACTAGTAACAGTCATCCACAATGAGATTTGACCTTTGACATTCAGAATGCAAAAATATAAACACTGTATGACTGTTTCTCCCATTTGTAACTATTACTACTTATAGAATTATTTCTAGCAAGAATCCTACATCCAACTGAGTTCGGGAAATAAAAACTGATCAAATGTGAGGAAGTTAAAGAATGCAAACGATCTGGGAATAACTTACGAATTATTCATTAGGCGTGTATCTACGATGATACTTAAGTTTTTTGATACTTCTGTTTAGTGGATGACAGCCGGTTGTGGTGTGCTAAGACATATAACAAATATCAATTGTTTCTATACATGAATAAGCGAAATTGCAAAAGAACTAGCTCACACCTCAGTTTATATATATATATAAGTACCTGAATTATCCTACCATAGCGACGGATGAAGGGTTCCAACCACATTACGCATCAAAAACTGACTGTAGCATAAATCATCACAATATTGGTTATCAGTTACATCCATAAACCTTCAGTTATTATTTGATAAAGTGAATTCTTGATTTTCCCGGCGATTAGTTAGATCGAAATGTTCGGCCTCTGTTCATGTGTCTGCTCCTAATATGGACGCTTTGACTATGTCTGAGGACTAACTTGAAGTAATTTTGGTGAGTGGTAACTAACAGGGGAATCCAAGATACATGTTTCGTCATACTTGGGACTTGTCATCTGGATGTGCCTGCTTTCTCCAGTTAGTGATGGTATTCTCAGTGAGGCTAGAACCCCGTACCTATCGTTTCAAAAGGCAAAGCGTTGTCCATCAGACCTCTTGGTGCACGAGAGCCACCTCATATACAGCGGGCGTTTTTATTATTTCTCTCAGTGGCGGACACTATCACCCACTGGGAATGCAGGTACATCCAGCTGAAGAATGTGAAATAGGATTAAATAAGCATCCTAAATTCCACTGTTAGTCACCATATACCAAATTACTTCAGCTTTAAAGTATATTTGTTTATAGAAACTAACTAAGATGGGGGATTTATTTGCCTTTTTTTTCTTACTTTCAGCCATTTATGTCACCACACTTATTCTTTACTCAGCTACAGTTTGTGCTTATACTGCATTTGTTGTCTTCTACGGTTTACCTCGTCAGTGTACATTGAATTTAACTGTGACAGGTATTAATGCTGGTCTCACGTTATTATTTGCCCTGTGTTCTGCATTTTCTACGATATGTAAGTTCGGTGTTTTGTAACAATCACTTTTTGTTGAACACTTGTACTCACTATTTACTCAAACTATTGATGACCATTTTAAAAGTTGCATTTTCATTCAATTTATCGGTTGGATTGAATAGTTTTCTAATGAGAACTATTGGAAACCGTAAAGCAATGGATAAAAAAAGTTTTTTTCTTAGCTATTGACACCGTATCGCAGTATTTTTAATGTTGACTGCCGAAAAGCGAAGAGCATTCAACTGTAATCCCTTTGGGTTCTCAATACTCATTATTAAAGTATGTTTGTAACTACATGATATTTTGAAAGGTCTTATTGATTAGTGCAAAGAGGCGCAAAATTGTTTCTTAAGGTTTCTTGCTAACTATTTTGAGATCTCTGATATCAAAGTTAAAAAGTTAGTCTAAATACAAATATTTAATCCAAATTTTCAGTTTTGTAGGGGTTTTCTCTTGCTTCATTTCAGTGTGTATTTCGTTACAAAACGATATCGGTTGGGAATCATTGGAAATCAGGCAGCAATAGACAACATATTTTGTTCTATTTACAAACCTTTCAGCAGTGTGCACTCATTGCTTCACTAGAAATCGAACTCAGAACCTTCAGGTTAAGAGACATCCCCATTTGCCATTCAGTCACTGAGTCGGAGTTCCGAACGAAACTGAAGAAGACGATCATCGTTGTTGGTTGGTCAACAGGGTACTCCGTTGGTGCCACTAACATACTTCTCAGTCTCATACAATTTCCCTACCTGGGTATTGATGAAGTCGCCCACTGAGACGACTATATTTGAGCATTTTGCTTTTCGTATTAAACTAGACAGCTTTTGGTGTAGAAATCTTCCTTTATTTCATCCGAACTGTAGTCGGTTGGGGTGTAGGCAGAGATTATGAGAAAAAGACATTGACGGGCAACGCAGTCCGTCCTTCTTATGAATCCGTTCAGATAGACAGCATGCATACGATTATCCACTGGGATTCAGTCGAGTAGGGATTTTTCTGCCCTAGCAATCAATGCTACGCATACATCTGCGAGTTTTCGCAAACTAACTGAGAAATCTCCTGATAGCTGTGTACAGCGAATTTCGCAGATTCATTCTGTTGATCAGGTGGGTTCAAGTGAATAACCAGACTTGGATTTTGTATGATTGTCTCCGAAACACAGCATACATTGATTGGCTCAATTCAAAGGGCTTGCCCTGCTTGGGTTTGATCCTCAATGGAGTCACAGGTGCGCATTGATGAAGAGTCCGTAGCCAGGACGAAACATTTATCTTTCACCCCTTGGTTTCTGATGACTCTTTAGCTTGTGTCAATTCGTGATGAAGTCTACATAGAAAACTATTCATTCAATAGATAAATTCAACAAACATTCAACCACTATTTTTATTACAGCTTGATTCCACACCGTATTTTTGGTACATGTATGGAATTTTCAGCATGTGATATCGGTAGCCCAAATTTTGCAGGCCGACTATAGATATCAGGTGTGCTTCGGCGGGGGATCGAACCCCGGACCACGTGCATGGTCGGCGAGAGTCCAAACCGCTATGCCACCGACTCATCTACTTTTGATGATTACTTTTAAGATCTGAAACAAAGATGGCAGATTTTGTCGCACATGTCCTAAGTTTCCTAAAGTTACCCATTAACATGTTGACTAGAAAGATTGTTAGACATCTGTCATTAAAAATCTCTAAGCATGGGGTATGTATTTTGCAGGTAAATATAAATACAGCAATTCCTCACATTCTAATTCATACTGAATTGGACTGTCTGTCTGGATTCAACATAGAACTTGGCACCGAAGTGCAGCTGTTCGAGTTGCCACGTTCCAAATAGCCCACAGAGGTAGACAAGAAGATGAGTGAAGGGAATTAATAGAGTTTGACAAGTATAAGAGTGAAACAGAATGGGTAATGGTAGAAAGGAATATGAAAGATTACAGAGAATGAATACATCTGCGCTGGCCATTGACAACGATTTTGAGCCATGTCACCTATTGTCTCCAGCCATTGATTCCTAGAGTCCCGAGGGCCCCAACCCGGGAGTCTGCATCTCCCTACCTGACTCAGTTTAACTGTCAAGGATTTCATGGATTGATGAGGCCATGTTTTTGTTTGGCCACCACTGGCTCTTTTCCAACCTGCACCACCTATATCAGCTAGTAATGCCCGTCGGGGGAGGCGGTGGTTAGGCATGTGCAGCGCGTGACCTAGCCATCTCAATCTATGTAACTTTATAGCCTCGTCGATTGATTTTCCCTCTTTGCCCAACACTCTACGCCTAACATCAACATTACTTATCTTGTGAAACCACCTAACGTGAGACAGAGATCGCAGACATCTATGATCGAAAGCAGTCAACCTTTTCATGTCTTCAACGCGTATTGGCCATGTTTCAGAGCCATAGAGAAGGACGGAGCGAACTTCTGAGCAGTACACACGTCCCTTGGTTGATAACCGGATGTCACGCCTACGCCAGAGATGGTGTAAGTCAGCGAAAGCAGCTCGAGCTTTTCGGATCCGTGCTGAGATTTCATCGCCAATCAGTCCGTCGGTGCTAATACAACTTCCCAAGTAGGTGAAGTGGTCAACATGTTCTATCACTTCACTCCCTATCACTAAGTTAGGGGTTGACGTGGTCCAGTCCTGTAGCAGCATCTTACATTTTGCAGGGGCGAATCGCATGCCAAACATACGAAGATTGCTGCTCAAGGTGTTCAGAAGACTCTGCATTTTGTCATCATCCTCCTGCCCTAACAGGACTATGTCATCTGCATATTCTAAGTCCATTAGATTATTCCCTGGTAACAAGTCGATTCCTAAGTCACTACGTTCAGTTAAGGATACTTCCATTAGCATATCTATGATGAAGTTAAACAGAAATGGGGAAAGTGGACATCCCTGTCGGACACCACTGGTTGTTACCAATTCAGATGATGACAATTCCCCATAAGCCCTTACACGACTACGTGAGTTTGAATAGAGTGACAGAAAATTGTTGTTCTTTTTTGCGTTTAAACTCGGTTCATATATTTTCGCTTGATTCTTTTTCATTCTCTATTAAGTATTTTGTAATTTTTGGAAATAAATTCGTCTATGTGCGTCTTATTTTTAAACGAAATACTTCGTATTGATACATTTAGAATTAATCAATATTTTTGTGTTTATCGAAATGTGTTTTTAGTGTGAATAAACATTAAACTGCTCTAGGGTTCAATAGTAATTAAATGGATAATATTGTCTATGCGAAAAAATTTGTATTTTTGTTCTACTATTCAAAGAACGACTGTGGTTGAAGTTTTGTTTTGTCCAAAACGTTGTGAGATGAGATAATGATTCAAGGATTAATCACGAGCTGGCATCAGTTAAAAGAACCATTGGGAAACTCAGGGGTGCTGAAAAGCTGTTTTATCCTAGTTTGCGACTCTTCATCAGTACGCACTCGCCGTCAGGGTTCGAACCAAGGACCTACTGGTTACGAGGCGAGCTTGTAGCCCATTAACCCTCTAGGAACTGACTCAACGGCCAACCGACAAATTCCAACTTCCAACAATTCATAATTCCAGCATGGCTGACCATCAGGGAATGTCATCGGCGAGTATTTGTCCTCACACACTGCGACCTCTTTATAAAACTCCAGGCAAATTCGTTCCCAAGCCAGTCACTAGTGAGCATCAGACTAATTTTTAAGTGTTAGTTTGTAGGGATTATTTAATCGATTGATGATGAACTCCACCGATGAAATCATCCCATGGCGTTATTTACAAAAATATGCATATAGTATGATGCAGTGATTCAGTCGGAAATTTTAACATACTGAGCTTTTCGGGCTTGCGATTGACTGACCTCTTGTAAGACTGTGATTGGGATACTTTGATTAGTCCCTAGATGGTAATCAATATCATGTGTCTGGTGCTTGTTTATAAACGTGTTATTGTGTGATAAAATGCAGTTGAAATGACTAAAGAATGTTTTTTGTTTTGTTTTAAAGTAATGAGGTGATGATTGTCAGAAATTTCGAGAAATGTCTTGATTATAGAGTTTGATAAAAACTTGTTCACACATTTAAGGTGGTGGTCTATGATTTTCACAATTGCTTCATTGCAATTCTACATGAATATTTTCAAGTGTTATTTAACTTATTAAAACGCACAAATCTGGTACACTATGGAAACGAAAATCTCATGGTTTGTGCGGCGACATCTGGATACCAAGACCGAAGCAGAGGTTTGTTTTAAGGCACCACCTTTCCCCAGCCTTTGACTTGAAGCTTGGTCCATAAGGTCGTGGAGCTGTTTTTCCATGGTTGCCTGTGACCACGATAACAGATCCATAGATGATTCTATCCTTTTGGATTTTAGAGTGCATGCGTACCATAGGCTCGGAACCAAGATTCTCAATCTTTTCTCTAGACAGACCTGCATGTCCACCGGTTCAATCGTAAACATTTGCAAGGAATATCACCACCCTCGCTTGAAGGCAGTAAAATAGGACTTATTTGGGAGAGAGACTACGAATGTGAAGCCACATGAGAGCAATTCGAGAGGAAGACAGAAGTCTATTCATCCTCAGTCATACTGTGAAGACAGAAGACAAGGGCCAAGCAATGTATCGTATATTGAGAAAAGATATTTATAGATTTTTATGTACATTACTATTCTTTATTTTTAGCAGAGAGGTAACGTCTTCTGATTGGTCGTTTTCTCGCCGAAAGTCATTCTGTTATCTCTTTGTTGCTGTTTCTTAGGCAGTCCGGCCATATATCTGCTAATAGTATCCGCCCACGTTAAGTCTGCTGTGACTGGTTGGCGAGTTTCTCAAGGTTAAACTTTGTTCTTGTTTTTTCTCATGACCCTGATTCGGGACGTAAACATTGACGTGACTTGTTGCCTATAATTTCGGCTTGCAGACAGCTCTCACCACAATACTAGGTTCTTTATGGGGGCAAGTTTTGCCTTACAGGACTTTGATTGATTTCATGTTTTATTACCGGCT